CGACGTGCACCATGGACTGAATTCACGCTGCAGAGAACATCTTTTGGTGCATTGTCGTACTCTGATGCCCTCAAGAAACCGATTGGAGCTAGTCAAGATGTTTTGACGGTTTTCCGGCCATCCAACCAGTACTACCCTCAAAACGATGTCAGGCCCATCCACTACCAACCATGACCCAAGCTGGCCTAATCCGAGACCCACAACGCCCATCATCAACTCCGAGACTAAAAATGGAACCGATACCTGGAGAAGGTCGGAGAACTACTCAACCCACAGAGCAATCAAAGTGCATGTGGTTTTTCATTTGCCCACCTCAATGTAAAAAGTATTATGAATAAATTCAACCATTTTAAGATATTAATGTCTACAAATCCATTTGATATCATCTGTTTAAATAAAACATTTTGTGACTCCTCAATATCCGATGAAGAGATTAAACTCCCCGAATACTGTATTGTCAGAAGAGATAGAAACCGTCATGGGGGTGGGGTAGCAATGTACATCCGAAATAATATAACTTTCATCCGCCGTGATGACCTAGAAACAGATGATGTGGAATGTTTGTGGGTTGAACTCAAATGTAAGCAAAGGCAGCCTGTGCTTATAAGTTCTATTTACAGGCCACCTTCAAGTTCTGTTGAGTTCATAGATAAACTAAGTGGTATTATAGATAGAGCCTCATGTGAATGTAAAGAAATTATTGTAACTGGCGACTTTAAGTGTGATATTGATGATGGTACTTACTCAGACCCTGTAACTTCTTGCTTTAATATGTTTCAAATGACGCAACTTATTCATGAACCTACCCGCGTCACTGAATTTACTGAAACAATCATTGATCAAATTTTTAGCTCACATCCTGAACTTGTAAATGAAACAGTGTCCTACCTGTCCTGATTAGTGATCATTATCTTGTTTACGGTCTTCATAATTGGAAACCTCCCAACAAAGAAGGCCGTTCAATTAACTTCAGGTGTTTTAAAGATATCGACAATGACGCTTTTCAAGAGGACCTCCTTAATGCCCCATGGGAACATGTCCTTAATTGTCATGATGTAAATGAAGCATGGTCCATGTGGCACTCTTTGTTTATGAGTACACCAACATGCACCAATGAAATCAAAACGTATTCGTGGTGCATCATTGCCTTGGCTCGATGGGGAAACTCTAAAACTTATGCGACAGCGAGATCGTGCAAATAATGTTAAGCTTTGCTGTAACTGGCATACAATCATATGGAATAATTTGCATGTGCAGTTGAGAACCATGACTTCTCTAACCTCATTCAAATCTGAACTACGTAAAACGTTCAGTCAGTAATAATATTTCTACAAATAATTATGTGTGTATTTGTCGATGTCTTTGATTTTACAAATCTATATGCTGATCTACAGAGTTAACAGAGTTAACAAACTTGGTTGCCAAAATAATAAGGAGATAATAAGGAGCCCGATGGGACTTTCCCCATGTTTTCTCCAAAAAGGGTTTTTCGCGGGGTTTTCGCCCCTCCCATAATCAGCAAATATAGTTACAGCAATATTGTTTTTTCTTGATGTTACAAGATAGATCCAAAGTTTTTGTGTTATGCCTCAAGCTTTGCTGTAACTGGTACAATCAATGAATCCACCTTATAGTAAAGCCTTCGTGCACACTGTACATTTAGTTATAATACATGTACATGTAGATTTAAAATATATTGTATTTACAATATTTGCTGAACAACTATGCGTTTATCAAATAATGTTTTATCCCATTGTATTGAATTGTATTGTATTTGTAATGTATTGTATACATGTTGGTAGTTATTATTTATTGTATGCAGGGCCCCAATGGAAACCAGTTTTAAACTGTTTGGGCATACCCTGGGTAAATAAATGTAATAAATAAGATGGTACCATACCATTCCTGGACGTCAAGATCTCCAGGAATCCGGATGGCACCCTGGGACACAGCATCTACAGGAAACTAACCCACACCGACCGCTATCTCCACCAGCGGTCGTTTCATCACCCTAGCATCAAGTCATCGGTCATCCGGACCCTAGTACAGAGAGCCTTCGACGTCTGCGACCAAGACAACCTCAAGCACGAACTCATGCACATCCAGGCATCACTACAACAGAACGGTTACAAACCCAACCGCATCAAGATCAGCAAACCTGACCAATGGGTCTCCTCTACCCAAGGTCCTTCCAATGTATCTCCTCAGTCACTCTTCCTTACAGAGGTCCAGCTTCTCATCATCTGCAACGCATCCTCCGACAAGCCGGCGTCAAGGTGTACCACTCATCTGGTAACATGCTCCAAGGCACCCTCCACACTCACAAGGACAAGCAGGACTCCTCTTCCAAGCCCGGAGTCTACCGCATTCCATGTAAATGCGGCAAAGTCTACATCGGGAAAACTAGTCGGAAAACTTCCCACTAGGCTCAAGGAACACAGAGCACATGGACGGCGAGGGGATTTTAACAAATCGGCCATTGTCAAACATTCCCATATCAATGATCACAAAGTTGATTGGGATGCAGCTGAACTCATCGCCCCGATCCAGTTCTGGCATCCAAGACAAATACGACAAGCCATCGAGATCTGCAAGCACAACACAGTTCCGCAAGACATCGGGTTTCACCTCAAAGACATCTGGCTCCCACTCCTCCAGACTGATGGGTCTCCTATACCATAGGTACTCTGCTATCACCTAAGACTAATGGATTTCCTATACCCTAGGTCCTCTGCTATCAGTAAGACTGATGGGTCTCCTATACCATAGGTACTCTGCTATTACCTAAGACTAATGGGTTGCATATACCCTAGGTCCTCTGCTATCAGTAAGACTAATGGGTCTCCTATACCCTACATGTAGGTCCTCCCTCTACTGAGACTGCAACCCTACTGTTCCAGCAATCAGTGGGCACACACAGCTTGCTCAAGGCTCCCAGCTACTTGGAATCCACACAGGATGCAACTTCACACTTCATCGATTTCGCTTTTGCTACTATTTACTTTCTTAGAGTTTAGGTACTCTCCTGAAGACGGTCAGAGCATACTGACCGGAACGTCGAGTTTATACCTCTGGTTTTTTCAAAACCATTCTCTTAATTGAGAAATTATTCGCAAATGGTGTATCCGCAAACCTTTCATTCATTAGTATCTCCACCATGCAAAGCCTCAAATCTTACTTAGGAATTCATTGAATTGAATCCGACCTGAACACATTATTTTTTTTCAAAGTAGACAGGTGATTCTGATGTTGAATAAAATAAAAAATCAGTGCCAACTTCCAATTCTAAATTTTAAGGTGTTTTATTATTGAGCTGTTTTGCTGTGTGAATGCATGAAGAATAAATGCATGTACATGTAGATGAACTTCAACTCTGGGTCAGCCTGCAGTTTTCTTTGGAGTGCATGTATGATCACCCAGGCCAAGTTGGCACTAGCTGGACTTGGAATCAGGAAGTTCTTTGTCTGACAATACATTTCAATTTTCCAGAGACTCACAACATTTACACCAGACTCTGACAGGCTGACATTATTCAAAACAGATTAACCTTGCGCAAACAGTTGTGTTTGGCGCGAAATAATATTCTTATTAATTTAATGGGATGGGGAGGGGGCAAATGTCCCTGTCTACCCTAAAAAAATGATCAAATGACAAAATCCTGGCGACGCCCATGATGTTAAGTGAGTTTCAAACATTGCAAAAGAGCATGCAAATGCAACAACTGAAATGAAAAAAACCCCCAAAAAACACAAAATAACATTATTTCCCTACCTACCAGTACCTATCTGGTGTTTTTTTTTTTAGGCCGTTACCGTAAACACACCATTTATTTTGTTTGGCCTAACATGTATAATTATGAAAAATCTGACTGTCCCAAAAAAAGTTGAAACCTGACGACTTACAAACAAATCCTGGAGTGAGGTGAGGTAGGTGAGGTAGGAGGGGGGGGGGGGGGGAGGGGGGCGAGTTGGGAGGGACGAGGGGGACTTCATGCCCCTCCCTCCTTCATAGATCCCATGCAAATGGTCTAGCTACTAAATGTACTCACCTGTTGCAGCTGAGGGGGCGGGTACCTGTGCCTCCTGTTGCATCGTCGTAGGGACGTCAGTCTGGCAGGCTGCTACAGATTGTGCATCCATTGTACTTTGGATCACCCAGCCACACTCAGACCTCACCCACCTGCAGTGCGTTGATCTTTTCATCATAGCAGTTTGCACTTTTTGGAACGAATCCACAAATGGAAGTCCTGTTTGTCAATGATAAATGAAAAGCTGTAACACACTGGTCTTCATTCCAACTTCAATCTCAGTCTTCAGCATGAAAATGTGTACTTAAAAAGTTTCAGTGTTTAGAAAGCGAGTAACAGTAGTTGTCTCAATGTACCATTTATTTGTTAATAAATATGTGTTTGTCACTCTAATGCTTGGAACTGTCCTCCACAAGTTTGCATGTTATTCAGCTTGCACATAAATAAAACCATACATAATAGGGACATTTTGTTGTGGTCTCGACGAGTCTCAAGGGTAAAACCGGGGAGTTTGGCACCCGAGACCAAGACTGACACCGGCGCTTTCAAGACTGGACCAGCCCATCTGGGACTGAGACTTTAGGGCGAGACTGAAACAAGACCAAGACCAAAAAAAAAAAGTGGTCTCGTGTCACTTATAGCAACTGCACCAGACTAATGCACAGTTCACTGTCATTCAGTGAGATCAGTAAAATGTGACTGCAAAACTTCTTAACCCTAACAATCCCATACAAAACTAGTAAACTGATTACATGCTTTACTTTGGGTTAGGCATACCTGCAGAGTCCAGCAGTTTGGGTGTAGGGTTTGCCATATAGTTTTGGAATTTGCAAGAGTGACATAGGTTCCTAGTAAATCACTCAAGGGGATTAGGGCTAATAGGCTACCCCTGACATTTAATACAATCCATGAAACCAAAAACAAAAGAACCCCAAACAAAAATGAACCATTATTCTGGCAAAACTTACAGTTAAGTTTGTAGCAGGTTGATTCAGAGACGTCCAAGCATTACAGCCCTGTACATGCAGCTGCCGCACCCAACAATCCCATGACCACTTGACGGAACTATATTATGCAAATTAATCCCTCAATAAACCTCCATATATGGCATTGACTCAAACTTTACAAAAGTTGCAAGGTCATGATTCACAAGTGCTTTGACATTCTGTCACATGCAAGCAGTTTGCATCCAATATGAAACAAAACATTGCACTATCCATATTTGTCCTAATAAGTCTGGAGAATATCTTAATAAAAAATAAAGGCTATTGTTTTATCCTGGAAACCCCGCGCATCGATACAAATACATAAATCACATTTGTCCCAGCAGGCCTCCAGAAATTGTGTACATCTGGGTTTTCCCAAAATGTTTTATTGTCAACAGCTAGCCTGGAGACAACAATGGAAAGTTTTGTGTGGTCTGCTGTCATGCAAAGATCTACAAAGTTGACGGGTCAATGGGTGACCTTTCTTTTCAAATGACGTGATTTATGAGTTCACAAGTGCTATTTTTAGCTCAGCATCTATTCAATGCAGCTTAATTCTTTTTTGAGCCTTTAGTCAACACGTAGGTGTATCTTGACCTCAACAGCTTGGTATACAGCAAATGCATATCTAGTGACATATTTGTAATACCCGCATTATGAGGAACTACACTCAACCAAAAAAGAAAGACCTCCCTAATATTTTGTTGTCTAACTCAAAAACTACTGAGCACATCTTGCTCAAATTACAACTAATCAGTATACAAATATTGAGTGGCTCAGCGTGGAATGGGAGGAATATTATCGCAAGGTAAAATCTGGACTTTTCCATTTCACGAGGCGAAGCCGAGTGCAATGGAAAAGTCCAGATTTTACCAAGCGATAATATTCCTCCCATTTCACAATTTAAAGCCACTCCATATTTGTTTTATATAACTGACATATAGATCCTTGTCATTTGATATATCTGAACTTTTATTTCAATACAAACCTAGAGGAAAATGTATTTGTCTCTTCCAAACCACCCCTTCACGAAAATGTTTGAACCCAACGCTGTAGCGCTGGCTCTTTGGAACAATACGCGCTACGCACAACGCTGAACGCGCACACCAGCCTGCATTTGCACACAAATACCGCGTCATGATCCTAACTGTTGAATAGTATTTCCCATTCCCCATGGGCGGATAGTACTTTTTGAGCCGTGGCATGAATGGGAGCAATAACGAATGCCACGTGATGTGAGTTCCACCAATCAAATGACTAGGATCTGTATGTCAGTTATATAATATAGAAATTCCTTAGCAATCCAGCCATACTCTTTGTTTGGCCAAAACAGTGATAATGGGTACACAATTATGCAATTTATGACAAATGCTACCGCACAAACGTTGCACTTTTGTATAGGTGCAAGGTGAGTGTGAACCACAACTTGCACGTATACAAAAGTGTAACTGTTTTCGGTATCATTTGTCATAAATTGCATCATGTCGTACACATTATCACTGTTTTGAGCCAAAAAAAGAGTATGGCTGGATTGCTAAGGAATTTCTTTAGTGATTAGTTGTTATTTGAGTGAGAGGTCAGTAGTTTTTGAGTTAGACCAAAAAGTATTGGAAGGGGGGGGGGACTTTCTTTTTTGGTTAAGTGTATGATATTGATACAATGCAATTCAAAAGTGCTTGAATAAGTATTTGCAAGTAGGCCTACATCCTAAAGCTGGCACTAATGTATTGCCCAATTCTATAAAAGCATCAGGCCTTTTCAATAGCCAATCCGACAGTCCAATTAAATTGTTACAAATATATTGAAAAATAAAACTTACCTAAAGTTCATCTTCAACCTGTCACTAATTCCTGCACAAAACCCTGATGCTTTCACCAAGAAATCCTGCCGCAAATTAAAGACAGACAACAGTTTTAAAACGCAGATTTCAATTCCTCAAGTTGGAGAATCCAGCGGTTGAATAGCAGGAGGTCGTGGGTTCGAGTCCCATTAGCTTGCTTGCCAAGGGTTTTTTGATAGAATTCTTTAAGTCACTAGCAGTTTTTTTGTTTCTTTAATGGGTAATTTCTTTACGCCGTCTCGATTCTTCATAAGAATAACTACGCAAATCGTAAACAAACAAGAAATTAAGGGGAGCCGATGGTGTAGGCTCATAATTTCTTAACCCTAAAAGGGCCTGGTTATTTTGACCATCTCTCAGCCAGGGGGGCGGATTCCCCCCCCCCCCCCCAAGATCTCGGCCATCGAGTGACGAAAAATTTTGAAACTCGGTACATGCATGGAGCAACTCTTCATGGTTTTGGAATTATCGCTAATTAATTATTCATATGTATGAATGGTAATTCTGGTCTGTGTACACGACGTATATGGGAAAATTCAGTTTTCACGGTACATAGCGCCGGAAAATTTTTTCGCTGCGCGACAACCCCTGTTCCGATTTTTATATTTTTAGTGTCAAAAGATGCGTAAGGCTCGAGGCTAAAAAGTCATAAGAGCTCGGGTCATGAAATTTTTGTTTTTAAGGCTATCGCGGAAAAAGTCGGGGGGGGGGGGGCGTGGATGCCCCTCCACCCCCAGCCCTTTTAGGGTTAAAGCGATTTGGCATTCTGGAGTCTGGACTAATTGAGAAAGATTGAGGACAACGGGCCTTTCATGAATTGTGTCTTTTGGTTTCCTGCTCAGTGCCAGGTTTCACGAAATTAGGAAGGCTCCTTACGAATAATATACAAATATGGACTGCCTGGAATATGGACTGCCTGGAAACTAGCCTCCCGAGGTGATCCATGAAGCATTCTATTTTTCCCGAGGCTCCATGGATCACCGAGGGAGGACAGTTTTACTTCACCACGAGATAAAGCAGTCATTTTTTGTTTTATAACACCTCTCCCACAGATTATGCTTGATTTTAGGTGATAACTGATTAATTTAATCTGAATATAATAAAAATTAACTTCGATTTGAATACAAAATTAGTTGAAAATTAACGTCAGTAACTGATTTTGTGTGTCTTGTTTATCAAACATAACACACTTTTCTGGATGTCATCTTTGGTGCTTAGGTAGGTCTAGGTCTACTCTATCTACCATGGTAATAACTAATAACAGTTATTAAACCTTTTCAGTAAGGTAATTACAGTCGAAGGAAACTCAAAAGTACATCAAAAATGTAACGTGAGTAACCCTGAAATTGTTCCTATGCAATTTTGCACACAGTGCGTATAGTACTTTGGTTACTCAAGTATAGTAAGGTACTTTGGTTGCTATGGGTAGGCCTACAGTACTTTTGGCCGGCACTGAAAGATAGCAAAAATATAAAGTAACATGTGACTCGCTTTCGGCCAATCAAGACACAGAATCTGTGGGAGAGGTGTTATAAACTAAGATATTAGGGTTCAATGACTGCAAACAGGTCTAGTTGTTCACTATAGCAAGCCTAAAATGTCATTTGGGTGATTTTTGTCTACCAGGAAAGATTAAAGATTGAAGTTTAATATTGTAGTAATACTAGTTACATGTACACTGTTACTTGCCAGTGAAGATTTCATAGCGAATTCGGAATGTACTTTGCAGCCAATAGGGTCCATTGATTTACTGAATTACTCGATGTCAAAGTGATCAATATCGTTGATATCATTTATTTAAAATCATTTCGAGTTAATCGACAGTGATTGAAAAAATATGTGTGTCTGCCAGGTATGTTCGTCCCTTCCACTTAGTTTGTGCGCATGCGCCAAAATCTCGGCTAATTCCAGTGACTGTCGTGCGCAAGTGCATTGGCATGAACATACGAACTGCATGAGCGAGCGTGGATGGACCGCTGAAAAAAGTTTTGTGTTGACAAAGACAAAGCAGGATCTGTTTTTGTGGATGGACCACTTCAAAAAGCTTTGTGTTGACAAAGACAAAGCAGGATCTGTTTTCATCCAAAATAAAAATACAAATGAGGTCCCTTGGAATGACAAGAAGGTTAATTGACTAATTGGCATGGCTCAAGAGCATAGTTTAAGCAAATATGTAAATTCCATTCAACTATTTAAAAATCGTTTTTTGAAAAACAAAGATACAAAGATAAACTGACTAGGGGAATTATAACAATTTTTGAAAAGTTGGACAAAGAAACTGACTTGAGTGTGGCTTGAACCCACGACCTCCGAATAATTATTCCGGTGCTCTACCAACTGAGCTATCCAGCCCTATGTTGGCGGTGCCCCAATTTGTCAACATCTTTGTTCAAGGGACGCTAGTCAGAAGCCATAAACCGGTCGTAGCCAGGGACCACATCCAAAGTCATGAAACAGACCCAGGAATGGTTATCCGGATGTTGCAGGTTTAAACCCTGCTCAAGTCAATTTCTTTGTTCAACTTTTCAAAAGTATAGCATAAAAGAAAAAAAAAGTGTTCTTCCTAATAATTGTAATTTCCATCATACGAAAAGTAAGCAAATGTCCCAACAATGACTGACATCCCTAGTGCAAGAATGTGGTCCAAAGCGACATTTACTGAGTTCAGCTGAGTTGAGTTGAGCATGTGTAGCTTGTGAAGAGATCACGTGCAGTGCATCGCAAAATGTGTGCGTGTGACATTACGTCTCTCGCTGAGCCACGTGTGTTAAGTAATTTGGTGTACGTAAAATATACGTGTCATCACTTTTCGTAATATTGATGACTAGGAAGTAGGCCAATAGAAAAAAATTCCTCTATTCAGATCACTTGCTGTTTCAAATGAGAGCAGGCAGGCCAGGATTTGTAACTTGCATGTATATAGACAAAGTCAGAAAAGACAAACCCAGAAAAGTGAGATCAAGCTTTGTGAATGATCACACATAAACCTGTTTTCTAAAGATGTTTTCGTGACCTTTTCATGATGTAAAGATTTGACTTTATGTTCAGTGCTGTAAACTGCTCCTACTTCTTCCAGCATTGGCTATTATCTTTACAGTGGCAGGAACCATACATCCTGCATGTACTTTCACCTAGGCAAAGGAAAGCTTGCAAGTCTCGTCAAAAAACTGAGTTTCAAGTAAACAAACCTTTCATTTGAAGTAAACAAACCAATCTTTTTTTTGTGGTGGAAGAGCTGCTGAGAAGCATGTTCGTTGAAACAATTTGTCCACTTAAAAAATACTTCATAAAGGAATTTTTTCAGAAGCACCTGATCCGCGATTGCATGGTAAGAAATTGCAACGTATTTTGCAAATATTCGATATATTAAACATAATCGATATTGAAGATATACCGGTATGTATCAATAAATCAAAATTTCCGATACCATACAACCCTGGGAGTCAACTTATTCAGAACAATTAAATCCATTTCACTCACACATTGTACTTCAAATTCATTACTTCAAATAATGCCGTGTCTTTCTCGAGCATTGATGGTACTCACCATGTAACGATGTATTGCAAGTGTTCGTTTCGCAGGGTGACCTTTGTTTGACCTCCAACTGGACCTCCAGGTATGTCACATGCTGGAACGATAAAACCAACAAATCCACAGGAAAATTAGATAAGAGATTCCAGTAGAAATGAACAAAAGATACGGAAATGTTTCCATTGTGAATTATCGTACAGCTTATCAAACAAGAAAGATAATGTTGGTCCTCACTTTTCACACTTTTGTTCATTTGCAAACCAACTATGCCCCAACTTGGTCGTCAGACCAAGCTTATGTTGGGACTGTCCCAACTTGAGCCAAACTAGATCACTGAAGTTGCAATGGGCAGGCCTAACTTGGGTTGGGCACTGCTACTCATATATGGATGTTAGAGGGCGCGCATTTACCAACGAGCGTACGTGATGAGCACATCCACGGCCATGTGCTGCAAAGTGTCATCAGACAAACCGAGTCATTTTCTACAAGGCTACCCTGGAAGTTGCTACAAAAAGACGACATGTTTGATCTGCCTCTGATGAGCTCCCAGGCCCGGCCTGAGCAAGTGCCCTTGGTCCTCCCGTCTGAATGGTATAGGACCAAGCACCCTAGCCCTGTCCCACCAAACTTTACTTTTATCATGATCGTTTAGATGGGAATAAGGTTCCTGCCCAAGTTGGGCCCCTCCCAACTGATCACCCATGTTGATGAGACAGTCCCAGCATGTGTTTGGACCGATCACCAAGTTGGAATGTTTAACACGTATCAGTTGGCTAAGCAAACTGATGTGGCTATTGTAAATGCTATTGAAGATCAAAACGCCCTTTATTACTTTCATAACCTTCATTTGTTCCTAACAATTTACACAATTTATTTTGATCATGTAATTTTTTTTCAAAGTTCTCCCAGCAATTCAAAAGTCATGCATGGATAATGCGATTATCAAGTGACAGTTGTTGAGATTTGTTCATGTCTTCTCAAAGTAAAACATTCTGGATGTGCTTCTATGCAAACATACATTGTGCCAAGTTGTCCTTTCAGTCAAAATCAATCAAGTGACTGTTTTCAACAGTTAAGAGGTCCCAGCCTACATAAAGCAGGATTGACTCGCTGGGACTGTTTACGTAACTTGATACAGCTATGCCTTGACTGTAGGTGATTGATAAGCCAGCTGTGCCTACTTCCTGCCTGTTTATGCTGTTGACTGGATTTGACAAGTCAGAGTGCTTGCTTGAAATATGATCTGAATATTATTGACTAGCAACGCATGTAAAACGCATGGCATACATGTAGGAAGATAAAACAGTATGTCTGGATGTGCTCTGGATGTAGGAAGATAAAACAGTATGTCTGGATGTGCTCTTTATACCCGAAACTGTTCCAAGAGGGTTTTCACATACACCATTTATAGAACAATGGAACTCATCAGTGGTGCATGCATGATCACAGGAATGCATCCAAGATGACAATTTTGAAGCTAACTGCTCCTAGTTCATGATAAACCAAAAGTCATCAGGCCAAACAAAAAATAAGTCGGTCTCTGATCAGCGCGCGCGTCGATTTTAATCATGCGAGTCGATCTTTTTTTTTCCCAAAATGTTCCGCGGTAGCTCCAACAGCGCCCTCTATTTCCGCACCTCCTCAAGTTTTTTTTACCAAAGAGCACCAAGGAATGGGAAATTGCACCAAGGCAAATGATCGAAAGCACCAAGGCAAATTATGGAGGACACCAATGTACATGAGGACACCAAAAAAGCAAAATAGTACCCCACCTTGTCTGTACAATCCAAGCTTGAAGAAAAAAAAAAGCGAAAACAAAAAAGCCGCGTGGCTGCGTCAATTCCGGAACTTTGGTCTGACCAGAGACCAAATTTTTTTTGGGGGGGGGCCTAAAATACCTGAGACAGTTCACCCTTTCCTAGGCTACAGACCTTCTTTACAAGGAAACCACTTTTGATCGTTTCCTGAATGTATTTTAATCAATTGTACATTGTGGAATGGAATGGTGAAAGACTATCACTTTCAATTGTTTTTTTGTTTAAATGTGGCTTTTAACATTAGGACCTGTTTAATCACAAATTTTAAATTATTCATCGGAGCAGACTAATAATTTGTGATTTACTTTAAGTCATTGCTTTCATTTCTGTTCGCAAGTTAAAAACATGAGGATTTGACCTCACTTTCAATTTAATATGGCCGACTCATGAATAAAGCCTATTGGTCGAGAAATGTCATGTGGGTGGTTTAAGCTACTGACAACACATCAGTTAACACAATTCCTGTGTTCTGCACCACATCACCTAGTATGCGCAACGTGCACGTCAATTTCCATAGGAGATTCTGAGCACTGCATGGACAAGGCAAGTACACAGACATGGCCAGGGGGGTGTTTATCTAAACACGAAGTAATTTGCTGAACAAAATAGTTGGACATTTGTGAATTTTTGAATTCTTATGACTCTTTGACCAAAAGTTATGAATGGGAATAAATAATGTGCTTGGCAGGTATGAAACAAGTATGTTTAAAACCAGCCATGGGCCTGGTGGAGAATAATGGCCCGAGTCGATTGGCAACCAGGTCCCTAGCTGGTTTTAAACACACCGGTACTCGTTTAAAACCGGCTAAGCACATATTTATTCCCTTAATAATGGTTATTAAGTTCAATCTTTGTTCATATTTTCCCTTTGTTTGTTGGTGACTTTTTGGGGGGGGGGGGGGCACCCTCAAAATAAATATTGGAAAGATACCTACAATGAAGGTACCGGTACTTTTTTTCAACCATTTCGGTCCAACATGTAAAAGTCAAAAAGAAAGTGCAGAAACAAAACAAGATTGTTGAAGGCAATGAACTATGACCCATCTTCATTGAAGTAGCGCTGTGAATTTACAGATAATACGGTAATCGGGTTTCAGATAAACACATGGGCTGGATTGTGTTTGATTGAATATCCGTAAAAAAAGGACAGGGATGATGGTGGGTTTGAACCATTCAATTCTGAGCAAACCAGAAAGTCACACACTATACACTCTTCCTCACATACTCATCTTAAGGTAAAATGCAATACAACAGAATGTGACTGACACAAAATGATCACACCAGAAACAATTGTGAGATACTAACATCATGTATTTTAATATGGAACCTGAATGCAATCCATATGTCTACTCCATCAGGCTATTACTGGGCAAGTCCAAGAATTCACACACGTTACGTCCCAGCAAAGATGAACCATCTAATATAAAGCAATTAGATCAGTGGTTTAAAAGTGGGTCTATTAATGTGTGATTACAGATATATGCATGAAGAAAAAATTAAAAACTTTGTGAATACACAGAAAAAGTCAGCATTGTCAGCCATTGCAAAATACAGACAGTGAATTTGATATTACAATCTATGAATATCCAAATATGGCACAATATTCTTTGGTTTTAAATAATTATGAAAACAAGCTTACAATGCATATAGTCAGCTGCCCTTTGTCTTTTATTTGAAATAAAAATTCTTTTTGTATTTCAATTAGTACTTTTGATTTTCAATGAATATGATCCCAAAAACATTTGCTAAGGTAACACCCCCTCCCACCCCCCGGTGTCAATGCTGTGTCAAATCAGTTATTCCTTCATCTTTTTGCAGTTTTGAAAACTAATCTTCCCACCCACCACTGTACCAACGTTTAGAGAAAATATAAACAAAATTTAACACACACTTTCTTTAAAAACTATGTAATTTAACATTTTCATGCCTTTGCTCCAAGGTTAACAGAAAATATAAACAAAATATAACTTACACTTTCTTTTAAAAACTGTTTAATTTAGCATTTTACCGGTCTATCATTGAGAGCATCCTCTTTTCATCAAACATTGTTTGGTTTGGCCAAGTGATCTCTACAAGCTACACTCTGTTGTGCGATCAGCAGAGAAGATCATAGGTGCCAGCTTGCCATCACTGGAATCCATTAACAATGACAGAATGTGAAAACGTACCACAAACCTGTATACATGTATAATAAATGGCTAGTTCCATCCAGCAACCGATTATTTTACATTTCTTCCATCCAACCGCCGTCTTAAGACTTTTTATGGCACTAAGTGTTTCACAAAAAATGTTATCCTTCTCAATTCATGTATATTAATGGGTCTTAGTACCGGTATGTTTGTTTTTATCTGTGTGCACTTTTTTATTCATTTTTTTACTGCGTATTTAGTAATCAGTAAAAATTATACCTATGTGAAATGTTTTTAACTTTTTGCATTGACTGCATAAAAGACTTATCTTATGTTACAAAAAAGTCACTAATTTGTGGGAGGAAAATCCCAAAACTACTCCGGGTAACACTTAATTGTTTGACCTTTTTCTTTAAGTACAATTAAGCCACTTGGCTTAAAAGTCTCAAAAATATAATTTTATTTACAACACTTGCATGTATTTTCCATCTTAGATTGGAACGATAACAGAAGTTCTCATTGTTTAAACGTGATACATCAATACAACTGTTGTCAGGACAACAAGTCTCAACTTCGAAATGGACCAAACCACCCATACAGCCTCAGAAATCAACAAATACCATATATCCACTGGGTTTTCAAATTAGTGATGTTTCCATGCACACACGTAAAGATTTGAGGTCTGCAGTCATTTTTTGTTGCCACTTCAAAAGTTTCCAGATGTGGAATCTCCACTTATTGAACATGAGATTGTGGTAAACCAGGGATCTTTATTTGCATTAACTGTTGTTTTAAGAAATAGTTTAAGTCAGAAAATAGACTTGGAATTGTAGATTTGTGCCAGATTCGCCCCGTCCATTGTTAGCATGAATTTACAGTTCCTTGTCCATTCTCATTGACCCAATCAGCAAATCATACACACTCTAAAAAGTCTGGGGTCAAATTCAACCCAAATCTGGGTCAGATTTGACTGGACACTTTTCCGGGTCAACATAATGCTTCTCTTGAGTCACCTTTCTGGCCATTTGACCAAGAAATATGTCATTTTGACCCAGAAGAGTGTGAGGTTCAATCTGACCCAGATGCATGGTTATATCTGACCCAGGGCTTTAAAAGTGTCAGTTTGACTTTGATGACAAACTACGGTGTTATATGTACAGTAGAGGGTGAACAGCTAATTGTCTTAAACGCAGTGCAACGCTAATGATGATCTGAATCGAGAATGTGTTATATGATGTTCATGTTTCAATAGACCTAAGACCTAATGATGTAATGGCTTTGTTTACATATATGCGCTTTCCTATGGGAGCGAAGTCGGGACGCCAGACGAAGTAGGAACGGTCTACCACATAGGAAAGTGCACATATAAACAAAGCCATTACATCATTAGGTCTCAAGCCTATTTGCAAATAGGCATCCTGGAATGACACATTTTTAATTATCTGTTTTGTTTTGTTTAATGGTTATTTTTGGATTTTGCACAAGTATCCGATTTCAGGGTATTATTGTTTTATGTAGATGTTGAACAGCTAATTGTCTTACATGCTGTGCGACCCTACTGATGATCTAAATTGAGAATGTATTACAATGTTTTGCCTTTGAGAATGGTCCTGCTTAGGATTGAAACATTAGACCCTCTAATTTCGTTGATTTTCTTGTAAAAGTTCATTTCCTTTTATTGAGAATGTTATAATTTTCATTTTGTTATACCTTGTGCAAATACCTACTGTAGCTTAAGAGAGGATGTCGACGTCGATGTATAACCCTAAGTGATGGGAAGAGGGACTTTAACTTATCCCATCCATCCAATGTCTCATTGCTATGTAGCTTCAACTGAGTCAGTCTTGGCATGTTACCTACAGCCGAGGCAATGGGTGGAATGTCTGACCGTGTCAAATTGCAAGCGTGCAGGCTCAGCTTATTTAAGTGCTTCATTTTGGGCAATTCCTTGGCCCACAATGCAGCACATTCACCCAATGACTCATTGACACCAAGATTCAAGTCAGTCAGTCTGGGCATGTTACCTACAGCCGAGGCAATGTGTGGAATGTCTGACTGTGTCAAATCACAATCGCTCAGGTCCAGCTTATTTAAGTGCATCATTTTGGGCAATTCCTTGGCCCACAATGCAGCACATTCACCCAATGACTCATTGACACCAAGATTCAAGTCAGTCAGTCTGGGCACGTTACCTACAGCCGAGGCAATGTGTGGAATGTCTGACTGTGTCAAATCGCAATCGCTCAGGTCCAGCTTATTTAAGTGCATCATTTTGGGCAATTCCTTGGCCCACAATGCAGCACATTCACCCAATGACTCATTGACACCAAGATTCAAGTCAGTCAGTCTGGGCACGTTACCTACAGCCGAGGCAATGTGTGGAATGTCTGACTGTGTCAAATCGCAATTGCCCAGGTCCAGCTTATTTAAGCGCCTCATTTTGGGCAATTCCTTGGCCCACAAGTCAGCGGATCCGCCCAGTGTCCCGTTGCAGTCAAGCATCAAGTCAGTCAGTTTGTGCATGTCATGTACAGCCGAGGCAATGTGTTCAATGTCTGTGCTCTGAAGTTTGCAAATCCTTAATTCAAGTTTCTCAAGGCTTGTCAAGTGTTTGATATGAGGGGCCCATTCTACAGCTCTACCTCCCAATGTATTGCAATCATCTATTGTAAGCGTGGTCAAGACATGGTTGCATTTCAGTGATGTCAGGATTTTTTCAAGATCACCCTTCACTAAAGGACACCCACGGAGCACCAGCTCCCTGAGGTTTTCCATGTAACCCAGGGCAAGGGCTAAAGCACTGACCAAAGACACGCCATAAACATAAAAGTATGTAATACATGCCAGTTGTGCTGTCTGGCTGTCTGACCTACTGATGATTTCAAGGAGGTGTACGAAACGGCGGATATCAGTATTGCTAAGCACAGTGATACGTGATGAGATAAGTGAATCACTTGGGAGACACCGTGGGACCTTTTTGGATCGACTTTCAAAAAAACACTGTCTACTAATGGCTTGTATAACAGCTGAATCGTACATGCCCCCAGACCTAGATTTCTCATTGAACTTACGAGCAAGCAATTTTACGATGTCAGACATGCACTTTTCATTGTCACCACAACAAAAACGTAAAAGGAAATCATTTGAAACAACACCCTCAACTGTCTGACATAGTTGCCTTAAATGGTTTTGAAATTCTCCAAATGGAACAAATTTGTACACCGTACGCTTTACAAATCCTGGGTTCAACATATGTACACTTTGCAAATATTTCGCAGCACAGTATTCCTGAATAGTCTTGTGCATGAATTGTATGTTGTTGTGGCATCTGAGGTTTTTGATAACTCTCTGCTGGGTTAGGATGCCCGCTTTCAGTGCCAGGTCCAGCGCATTTGGTTCGAACTCATCTTTTTGAAATGAGAAATTCTGGTCGGCACTTATGAATCCACTCAGTGCAGTTTTTCCTATAGCAATCACTGTTTTTGATGCATCTTCGGAGCTGCATCCTTTTCTTGTGAACATGTAATCAACTGCCTCAGTGAAGAGGCGTGAAGTTGTATCAGGGAGTTGTTTATTCTCCCTCCACAACAAACACATGAGAAGGAGTAACATTGGATTCGTGGAGAAATCGAGCAGCGTGTTGGATTTTTCAATGTTTTGGATCAGTGCACTGCCGCTATCAGGATCTTCGTAAAAGAATTTCCGAATGTATTCATTAACATCTTCCTTGGTAAACCCCAGAACCTCTACGTGTGTGCAAGGATTTTGGACAAGTGATTTTGACATCAGTGTCTCAAGATGAGAGGGGCGAGTTGATACCAACACAAAACAATCCCTGTATTCTGTTCTACTAAGCGCTTTTAGGGTAGACCCGAATGAGGCTGCATCAAGCGTTTTGGTCTTCATTTCATCAAACCCATCCAAAAGAATCAAGACCTTATTTGAGTTGTCCTGAATGAATTTATCAAGTTCAACTTTGGCTACTCCAGATGTTTTGCCTAGAAGTTGATCAAAAATGGCATCAACAAGATCAGATTTTTGCAACAGGGCACACATCTTTAACAGAAAGACAAGCTCGAATCTTTTCAGGATTTCACATGCCTCATCAGCCCAGTCATATGCAATCTTGTCAAAAATGGTTGACTTCCCGACACCACCAATGCCAAATAAAATAGCACGATTGAACTCAGTCTCAGGCCAATCTTTCAATATTTTCTCATACTCTGTGGAATATACAGTTTCCTCAGAGTATTCTTCTTCTACAGTACCTTTCTTTGTTCTAACCCGCAATTTAGTGTAAATGCCAACCATAGGTCTTTGATCATCAGGAGCCCCAGGGTTCAACTGAACATAGCTACCCGTTGTCTTGTAACATGTCCTCAAAATGTCCCTGGTCTTGTTACCGACTTGGTCTGGTCTCTGACTCTGTGGAGGTACTCCTGTTGAGGTCAAACAAGCAATATGTACATGTTATAGTAAGCAGGAGGTCATGGGTTAGAGTCACACACGAGTGATTTTCTCATTATCACTCGGGAAAAAATCGAGTAAACAGTATTTGTAAAATATGTTGGTGGAGGGCACAACCCCATATTGAATGTACATGTATTACTTCTGTTAAAACGTTGTTTCTGAAACGATTAAATAGTATTCCTCTCCGGAGGCAAACATGTCAAAGAAATAGACTTGGGATTTACAGTTCGTTAGTAAAGCAGTGTACCAATTTTTCCAAAAGCAAAAACAAACAAAAAAGAAAGTTTTGGCTCTTGTACTTCTGTTGGGCACAAACTTGTCTGATTGGTTTATAGTACTTTCACATTTTTTTTACACCCAACCCAAAATAGATTCACACAAAAACTGGTAACTGCAGGTGTAGGCCTCAAAAAAGAGTGATTTCATTATTCCATTCATTCAAATATAAATGCAAAATTAATGTGCAACTTCAATAAAGCTACCGGCATATTCACCTTTTTTCCTCCAAATGTGACACACACAATAGGGGGTGCCATTTGGCGTGGGTACAAAAAGAACAACTACACGACTTTACCCACTATAAATAGCGCCCTCCTAATGTGCTCACCATTATATCCTATTACAAACTGGTTTATAGTTACAGCGAAGAAATTGTGATTCTCTCATATTACCAGCAATCCGCCCTTTGTGTCCATGACTTTGTAGTATATTACCTCCCCCACCCATCCCCCAAAAAATACATTAACATCTGATCTAAGACATCAAGTAGTGTAACGAACAAGATCATATTTACCTTGTCCATAAGTGAAGTTAACTGTACTTGCACCAACAATGGTAGGGCAGTGGTTACCGCTGACTGTGCCAATCTTTCTGATGGCTCCAGCTTGTTGTGGGGAATCTAATATCAGAAGAATTCAAACATCCTTTAAAAGGATATTGACAAACTATTCATGTACTTGATTACATCTCTAGTTGTCGTCCGTGCTTTGAAAGCTGTGACTCCCGGTAGAGCAGATCATTTGTCCTATGTGCATTTGTTTCTTTTGAAGCAAGAAAAGTCCTCAAAATCTAAAGACAGGTGCTTAACAACTAACCTGATAAACTTTCAGCCCAGTGAATGTTGCATATTCCGAGAAAACAATTTTCCAGGATCTCAATTTCAAATCAAAAGTTGCAGAGTCTGTTTTGAATTGAAATTGCAGTTGATTGCAGCCGATTGCAGCCGATTGCAGCGATGCAACCAACAAATCATAGCAACTGCGCTCGCATGTGCATCGTGTCAACGCTCACGCGCAACAATTCACGGATTCACCCAATTATAAACCAACTACTAACGGAAATTTCCAAAAATGTGTCACTTGACTCATCTTTGGAGATGACTTTCTTTTGTTTTCTTGAAAATGACAGAATTTAACGGGAAGGTGGGTTCCATTACTATCTCTAAACCAAGTAAGCTTTTTAATAATAACTAACTCAGTTACTTTTTGGATAGCTGCAAATGATCTTCTCTAACTTTAATTAAACCATTGCTATGACGTCACACTATTGTTAAAAGTGTGGATTCGGATCTATGAATCTCTTACACTGGTCACAAAGTGTGGATTCGGAACGACGAATCTTCAGTAAAGTGTGGATTCGGAATTACAAATCCACACTTTGAACATGTCGGACAATTGTTCTCCATAATGAGCATGAATAGGACCGTTTGCGTGAAAATTTGCTTTCCGAAAATTACCAATGCATCTTCACTGTCAGATTTTCCGCCGTCACTGCAAAATCTACTTTTAGTCAGAAAGAAATCTTGTACGGGTGTGTCGATACACATGCTAAACAGGCTAAAAAAACAATGTTGCAACCTGACGCCACTTCCGCGCTTGTGTACAACGTCTATGGAGAGTCATTTTAAGTATTTCCTAACAATTTTGGAAGCATTTATCAGTCCCAGATTCATGTCTTATCATCATTTTTGCAACGAATGGCCTTCATTAAGATGATATATGAAGAAAAAAGTGGCGTCAGGTTGCAGCATTCTTTCCAATACTTCTGTTGACGCAATGGTTTAAGTCGAAGAATACACTTGCAAGTGTGGATTCTTAATTTACGAATTCACTCGGCGCTTCGCGCCTCGTGAATTCTTAAATTACGAATCCACACTTTCTCGTGTATTCTCCTTAACTGAATATATAACTATGAGAAATCTGATCCTCCAAACTTGAAACCTGATGACTTCCAAAAACATTTTGGGGTGAGGTGGGTGGGTGGGTGGGTGAGTGAGTTGAGTGGGGAGGGGGAGTTATTGCCCCTCCCTCCCTCATTGGCCCCATGCAAATAGTGTGATGAAACAGAGTACATATGTATAGGTGGACTGGTGGACTGATTTTAAGTCTAGCCACCAAACCATCAAGCCAGCCCGCGTGTTATAGGGCGTGACACTGTGAGCAGCCAATCAGCATGCGCGTCCTGCATGTGCGATGGGCTGATCGGCATTCCTGGCTATAAACGAGTAGGAAAGGGGAGTTTAATGCCCCTCCCTTCATCATAAATGTACTCACCTGTTGCAGCTGAGGGGGTGGGTACCTGTGCCTCCTGTTGCATCATGGTAGGGACATCAGTCTGGCAGGCTGCTTCAGATTGTGCAGCCATGGTACTTTGGATCACCCAGCCACAAATGGAAGTCCTGTTTGTCGATGAAAAATGAAAAGCTGTAACACACTGGTCTTCATTCCAGCTTCAATCTCATTCTTCAGCATAAAAACTTGTACTCACAATGTCGTTTATGTTTGGAATAAAGACTATAGGTTTGTATGTAATTCAACTTGCACATGAATAAAGCCATGCGTACAATGTAGATGGTACATTTTGTGGTCTTGATGGGTCACGAGGGTAAAATCTGCAACTTTGGCATCTGAGATTGAGACCAGCCAACCTTGTCCCCAGGGTGTCAAGCACTACACGCCCACCACTACCTGCTCTCTCACCCTGGTATTGGATCATTTGCATGTGCAAAATTTTTGAACACGTATGCAAATGAGGAATAGCCTGGTGCCCGCCTGTACGTTACATTTGCGTTTGTTTTTGTATGCGGTGTCTGGGGTAAAAACAGACTCAATTCGTCGCATGCAGTGCGAGCATGGCGTGAGTAACGAAAACACGATTTTACTTTAATTAAACTGTAGCGATCATAACTAGACAACATGCAGTATCACGTCATATTAATATTAACAAATTGGAAAGGAAATGAATATTTTCGTGAATGCGTGGACGAATGATCTCGAAAAACACGTACTGCACATTGTGAATAACAACACCAAGTACACGACATAAATCCATTTCTAGCCAATTGTGATATCGAATCAAGATACATGTACAAGAAGAAAGTTTCCTATCCAGGGCTTACTATTGGAAACGAGGTTGGAAATAAAGTAAGCACTGGGGACAAGATTGGAGACCAGCACTTTCAAGACTGGGACCAGCCCGTTCGAGACCAAGACTCTGATAGGATGAGACCGAGACTGAGAAAAAGTGGTCTTGAGTCACTGGTAGAAACTGCGCCAGACTAATGCACAGTTGACCGTCAGTCAGTGAGAGAGGTAAAATGCGACAGTGAAGCCTCTTAATTATAGGTTACCCTGATGTTTAGCATATTCCATGAAACAAAAAATCAAACATCAAAAACGAAACTGAACCATCGCTGTGGCAAAACTTACTGGTAAGTTTGAAGCGGGTTGATTCAGAGACATCCAAGACCACACTAAAGCACTGCAGCTGCTAAGCCCACCGATCTCATGACCACTTGACGGAACTACATTATGCAAATTAATCTCTTGATAAGTGTCCATATATTGCACTGACTCAAACCTTACAAGTTAATGATTCACAGATGACATTGATATTCTGCCACATGCAAGCAGGTTGCACCCAATGAAACAAAACATACACTTTCAATATTTGTATCTTGTCCTAATAAGTCTTTTTTTGTTCTAAATATATCTTAGAACAGCAATAAAAGGCTGTTTTTAATCCTGGCAAATCGCGTATCGATATTGTATGAACTACATACATCCCAGTAGGCCTACAGAAATACATCTGGGTTTTCCCAAATTGTTTGAAGTCAACACAGAAGTCCACGCTGAAGTGTTTTGTTTGGTCTGCTGTCATGGAAAGATCTACAAAGCTGACGAGTCAATGGGTGACTTTTCTTATCAAAAGACATGATTTCAGAAGTGTTATTTTAAGCTCAGCATCTATTCAATGCAAATCAATTCATCTTTGAGCCTTTAGTCAACACGTGTATAGGCCTGCATAGCTTGGAATGATATGAACAATTAAACATGTGATACAGCAAATATATCTAGTGACATATTGTAATATTGGCATTAAGAAAAATTATAATAAAATGCAACTAAAAACTGCTGGAATCATTATTTGGATGTAGGCCTACTACTAAAACTGGCACTATAATGTTTGGACCAACTCTACACAGGCATCGAGCCTTTCACTTATTAGGAACCATTTTAATTCAATAGCCAATCTGACAGTCCAATTAAATTGGACATTACAAATATATTTAAAAAAAGAAACTTACCTAAAGTTCATCTTCATCCTGTCACTTCCTGCACAAACCTCTGATGCTTTCACCAAGAAATCCAGCCGCAAATTAAAGACGAGCAACAGTTTTAAAACTTACATTTCATTTCCTGAAGTTGAAGAATCCAGCGGTTGAATAGCAGGAGGTCGTGGTTCGAGTCCCACTCTAATCAGCTTGCTTGCAAAGGGGTTTTTGAGAATGTCACTGACACTGACAGTTTATGAGGAACTCTAAGGATTGAGAAAGGTGGAGGACAATGGGCCTTTCATGAATTGTGTCTTTTGGTTTCCTGCTCAGAGCCAGGTTTCAAGAAATCAGGAAGGCTCCTTATGAAAAAACTAAGATATTAGGGTTCAATGACTGCAAACTGCAAGTCTGAAATGTCATCTGGATGATTGCTGATGTCCATCAGGAAAGCTGAATCGCACTGATTCCCACAGTACCTAAACCACGTACAAAAATAATTATTTCGAACCCAAATTTTTTTTTAAATTACAAAAAAGATGTCATTAGAGTTGAGAGAACTGAGAAGTCTGCTCGACGTTGAAAAGGACATTTTTGAATGATAAAACACACTCTACTTTGATCAAAACTAAAAGAGGGGCCCGTACAGCATTAGTACATGCCGTCGTAACGATATCCACTGCGGTGAAAATAAACCCGTCTACTCAGCATGGATGCTACCAAGGACACCAATCACTTCTCAAAAGTGGGGGGGGGGGGGGGGTGGGGACATACCTTGATCAAAGGTAATGCGAGCACAAAGCGCGAAGCCCTAACGACGTGGGGTGTGGGGTCCGATTAAGGGCCCCGAAAATGCTTGGATTCTAGACACCCTGTGGTGCAATCAGAGGCAATTTCTTTGAGCAAAATACTATCAGTGTGACAATTCTGGATCACTTTTTTTATACAAACCGCTTACACCCGCCCACGTTCAGAGTTTCCGAGTGACATCATTTCGTAAATTCCTCCTCTTCAAGTTAAAACCAAATATGTTCACACAGACTCAACTTAAAGGGAAACAAATCATGGCTTTTGTACAGGACTGATCCCGACAGTTGCGGATCACTTTCGACAATTCCAGATCACGCACGCTGCGCTACCTGCCTGGTACATGTATAAATTCATCATTCACAGCGCACTCAGCGCGTGTCGTGTGTTACGCCTTCATCATCTAAACTGCACACAATACTGCATCGTGTGCATGGGTGATGCGCAAATGTCGCATGCGGGTATAAAAATCTTTCGGCAAATACGGCAATTAATTTAATTCAAATTGCCAAAATCATTGTTACTCAGTGATACTTGAGATTATTTCCTTACAAGGAAACCAAGTATAGTCCAAGAGAAAATGACGAATGTTGACCACAGGAAACCAGAATTTTGCCTTTATGCGCTTCCTTTCACAGGCCAGTTACAAAACAAGCGGACATTTTGCTAAACTGGATCATGGATAATGTTTAAGCAATTTCAAAAAATTTCTTTTTCCCAACAATTGCCAAATGATATACCTTCAAACTGGTAAAATAAATCTTGGAAAAACAAAGTTTGGTTACAGTTTAATTCATATTTATTTAATCAAGTGATCTGCAACTGTGGATGATCCAGAACTGTACAGGGTGAGTCAGAATGATCTAGATCCAAGTTAACCATTTTTTGTGGCAAAAAGAGTATACTGAGAAAAAAAAGAGCGTGTCATATAAAAGGTCATCACTTTGTCTTCCACAGGAATTTTTAATTTTTCAAATTAGTGGCGTGGTGAGGAGTTATGCCATTTTCATTGAAGTGACTCACACGGAATTGATTTTGCCTTTTTTAAATGTGTCAATAACTTCAAGTGAGTCAGTCACCATCACTAGGTTTTTTTTTTGTTATTACACTGCTTTACATCAGTACGCGATTTCAATAAATTTGTTGCACCATGGAACCGTGGTCGGAGTGTTTTTTCGGGGATAAAAAAGTGGGACTCGTCCCCCCCACCCCCCGTCCCCAACCAACTGACGCCCATGGATGCTACAGAGATTGAGCACCACCACTGGCATCCAGGACTGCCCTCCCCCCCCCCCCCCAAGCATCAGACAGACCAATCACAGGGTGCTTCGATTGGTCACCTCGATTGGTCGCCTCAATGGGCCAATCACATGGCGTCTCGATTGAGCGTCTCCACGGTGACCAATCAAAGTGCCCTGTGATTACTCCTAGAACTATGATGCTACACAGAACCCCGCAAAATTGTTTGCAGCACAAAAGACCAATTAAGTACAAAAACGTCCATCAAAACAGCGACATTTCCCACAGAACTGCTGCACAGTTTGCCCCTAAACTTCGTACAATACCTAATGACATACTCACGTTATGTGCGCCAAACAAACATTGCTGGATTCTGTCGGTCTTCAGGCCAAAATGATGAAATATATGCCCTTTCAGCACTGAGCCAATCCGACACTTAAAACGTGCAAGCAGAGATTTTGATCGATCGATGATTTCCAGTTTGCTCGGAGCACGCTGCGGGGGGTACGGTACATGCGAAATGATGCATGCATACAAGTGCAAGTACCGTACCCCCCATGGCACGCTCCGATTGAGCGAACCGAAAATCATCGATCGATCATAATCTCTGCGAGATTGGCTCAGTGCCCCACATTTATGGGGCTACGTAGAAGTAAGATCGCGTAGTTTTCAAGGGTCTACCAATGCAGCATCATGCTCTCCCTCCCACCCCCAACTCCCCCCCTCCCCACAATGGACATGTGTGTAGATTAAAATATGTATCAATTGTTTTTGTTTGCTGGCTATATGCTGCTGGCATTGCCATTTGCTGGCGCTGCGTGCACTCGACTCCCACTGTTGATTATCAACAACACCACTGTTCCTCTCACTTTTTACAAGAAAATGGGTAGAGAGGTCGATCATTCGTCAGTTCAGTCAGACCGTACTAAAATTCAAGTTTCATTCAATGGTAGCCCCATAAATGTGGCCAATTTACTGGACTACCTCCGTAAATAAAGGCCACACTTCCACCATGTACAAAAACATGTCGAACTTTGTCAAATTGTGATTTTCACATTTAGGCTAGTTTGTAGGTTTTTTTGGCTTTAGAAGCATTTTCGCCCCCTTTATCAGAACAGCCATTCCATGTAAGGGTCATCACCA